CTCCGCAGGCCCTCCCCCTGCAGCTCCCCTCCTCGCCGAAGCTCTCCCCTCATACCCCCTCCCCTCAGACCCCCTCCTCGAACCTCCGGGGACCGCCCGGAGTACTCAGCCGCACACCACAAGACTCAGCCGTCCTCAGAGGCAAAGTCCTCAGGGTCCGCGGGGGCCGGGCCCACCCAGCCTCGCACGCCCCTCATGACCCGGTCGTCACACGGTCAGGAGCACACCCCTCCCCAGCCTCCTGTCACGACCGACCCCCTGGCTCAGTCGATGGCACAAGAAGCTGGAGTCTACCGAGACCCGCCCCCACTCAGCGCCCAGCGGCTGAGAACTCAGAGGCACCTCCCCAGAAGGTCCCACCAAGGCCTCAGGACACCTCCTTCCCTCAGACTGGTCCTCAAGGAGCGCAAACCCTGTCCCTCCCTGCTGGGACCTTCACTCTGCAACAGCCACAGCTCAGGGCAGGGTCTGGCTGCCACCCGCTCCGCCCCCTGCCCTCCCCACACCGGGGTTATGCACACCTCCCGCCCACCACCATCCTGCCAGCTCCCTCAGGCTGTCCTGTCTACATGCATGCTTCCAGGGCACTGGGCACACCCACCGTGGCCCTTTTACACTCGGGTGTGTGCACATACCCCTAGTGGACTGTGACACACACACACACATGCCCCTACTGGACCATGACACATGCACAGACACACAGGAGCACACATGCACACACACACGCCCCCTACTGGACTGTGACACGTGCACGCGCGCACGCGCACACACGCCCCTACTAGACTGTGAGCCCCCGGAGGGGAGGGAAGCGATTTCCTCGAAGTCACACGTCACTCAGTGAGTGAGGACGGGCATGGAGACCTGTCCCTGGGGGCTGCCGGGAGGGGTCTGACCCCCCCACGGAAATGAGAGGGGATGTGAGGGGTTGCTGGGGGCCCTCAGGGTGCCTGTCCTTCATGGGCGAGCACGGGGAGGTGCTGCAGGGGGTGAGGCCTGGGACTCCTGTCCTCGTGCGTCTCGGTGGTTGTGGGGACGAGGGGAGCTACCCACAGCCGGGTGACAATGAGCACCCCTGAGCGGGACCTGCCTCAAGCAGGACAGGAAGGTGCGTGGCGGGTGGCTGAGCTGGCCTCCATTGCAAATCGCCACCCCTCCCTGTCTCCCCGACAGGCCACAGGTCCCTGAGACCATCTCCAACACCAGCACCATGTTGACACCTGCTTGTCTCCACGCCCAAGGTGTGAGTGGACAGAGGGAAACCTGGCAAGACCCTGCAGAGGCAGGGCTGAGAGGGGACTTCTAGGAGCAGCAGGAGGCAGAGACAAGAGGTCCAAAGGGCTCGGGGTCACCTGCCCAAACCATCTTGTCACTGTGTGACCTGGGCAAGTCACTGGGCATCTCTGTGCCTCCTCTCTAGTGGAGAGATGCTAGTCCTGGCTCCTTGTGAGACGTAGTAAGTGAACGCTGCTTGGCACCCGCCTGCCCCACGGGGCCCTGCGGCAGCACTGCACAACCTTGTGCACAAGGCTGCTCGGGCCGCGGGCACTTGTTCACAGGCCTCGGTGCCTGCTCCGGACCCTCGGGCTCCTCCTCATGCACCCCGCTGTGCCCAGCACAGAACAGGTGTGGGGACACTTGTGAATGAACGGTCTCCCCAGTGCTGCACTGGCTCCTCGGTCCAGAGCCCTGGGGAACGGGAACGAACTTCAGACAGGAAGGGCTCAGCCCATACCCCTGGCCCTCAGTGCCTGTCAGAGCCGGGTGATACGGGGCCACAGAGAGCTCCCAGCTGCCCTCCTGCTACCTGTCTCAGACCCGCTCCTCCCAGCAGTCTGCGAGCACCTCCCGAGCAGGTCAGCTCTGTACAGGGGTCACGAAAGTGACAGACGGCCTGGGCGTCATCCCTGCTTCCTGAAAAGCTCTGCAGGCTCGGCCGGGGAGGGGCACACACGGCCCAGGCAGGCCCGGGGGGACACCGCCACGATGACGCCCAGGCCACACTGACTCTGAATCAGGCCTGAACATCACCGTCCTTCCACGGGGCCTGCAGCTGCATTAGGAGTGACCCGGGACAGCCAGCGTGCATGGGCGTAGCGTCCACAAGGGGCTCCCCGAGGGGAAGGGCCGGAGGAAATGAAGGCAGCTGCGTATGTCCACGGGGGCAGAGCGGAACTTGGCGAGTCCCTGTCCACACGAAGCAGGGGCCTCCCTGCCTGCCCCCCTGGGAGACGAACCTGGCTCTCAGGGGGTCCCCACCCATGAGGGGGGCAGCGCATTCAGGGATTTGAGGAGGGGATGGAGAGGGAGCGTTTCCCTCTCCATCCCCTCCTCAAATCCTGGGAAGCCCAGGACACACGCTGGCAGCCGTGACACTGCAGAGAGGAGACGCCGTGACCTGGCTGGGGAGACCAACGAAGAAACAGGCGGTACCAGTGCGGTGCGGGGGCCGGCAGGGGGTGGCAGGAGGAGAAGGGAGGTGCTGCGGAGGGGACCCCACGTGGGCCCCTCGAGGTCGGCAGGGTGGGGGCGTCCCCCATCCTCCCCGGCTGCTGTCCTCCCAGCGGGGCCCCAGGACGCTCCTGCTGCACCTGCGTCCGCCCCTCCCCCTAGAGGTGGGTGGTCCCAGGGCAGCCCTCCTCCAGGGAAGAGACTGAGGCCGGAGCCCTGCCAAGGTCTCCCCTTGGAGGGTACGCAGAGGGACAAGGATGCAGACTGCCAAGCACGGAGTGCCTTGTCCCAGGGAACACATGGGGAAACTGAGTCTCGGAGGAGGCACGCAGCGGCGGAGGCCATGTGGGGGTGCAGCGGGCAGCAGGAGGAAGCAGCAGCACCCGCATATGCCCACTGGGAGCCGGGCCTGGGAAGGACATGTTGACCCGGGGCCGGCGGCAGTCCTGGACTACTGGCCTCCCCGGCCCTCACTGGGGACCCTCGTGGAGAGGCCAGAACACGCCCGATACTGTGACCAGAGCAGCGCACTGGGACAACAGCCAGAGACGGAGCCACAGGGCAGGGTCTGAGCTCCACAGGGACCCCTGGCAGCCCTGGCTGGTGGGCCCTTCCCTCCCCAGGGCCCGGGACCCCGCCCCCCCGGAGGCTGTGTCTCCTGCCTGTGGCACCCAACGTTCCCTCTGACAAGGCACCCTGGAGATGGCTGCCCAGTGGGACACCTGGGTCACGGGTGACACGTGTCCCCTAGATAGCCGGCACCAGAGCCCTGCCCACCCCCTAGGGGCGGCTCACCCCGGCGTGCAGGGTGACAGCCAGCCGGCCTCAGGGAGGAGGGAGGGGAGAACTCAGCAAGTGGAGCGACTTCTCATGCTGTCACGGAGCCCAGGAGAGGCAGCTCAGGACTCAGAACTGCTTTAACGGTCGAGCCACCTGCCTCCCAGGAGCCTTTGTGACAAAGGGGACTCTGCCGAGTTCCGATCAGGACCCCTGGGCCCTGCACCAAATCCCTGTGCATCAGGTAAATCAGGCTTTCTGTGCCCGCTGCAAACCCCACCCCAGGCAGGGAAGGAGGGGGGCCTGGGCCTCAGAGGGCCCCCAGCACAGCCCACAGGCTTGGGGGGGGTCCCCTCATGGCATGGGGACGTCAAGGGGCCTCTTGTCCCCGAGGGGCCTCACTGTGGAAAGTGTGACGGGAGCCAATGTGGCAGAAGCTGACCAGCACATCCCAGAAAGGCTCCAGTCAGAGCACAGACTCATGTGAAGTGAGCGATGGGCAGCCTGGGGGCGCACACGGCGGAAGGTGCTGGAACCTGCGCCTTTGTCCCTGATGGGCACGCGGCCCTCAGTAACCATGGGGCCGTCTGGGTCACAGAACTTATAAAGCACAAATGCACGCACACACAGGTGCACACATGCATACTCACACATGTGCACACGCGTGCGCACACACATGTGGGCACTCATGCACACAACACGCATACGTGCACACTCACACACACGTGCATAGCCGGGGGTAGGGTCTGGGTGAGGCAGATGCACGTGTCCCCTATAGTGGGCAAGCTGTCATCCTCGGGGCAGGGTGCTTCTGGGAACGTGGGGACATTGGAGAAATCACAGTGTGTGCACACCAATGCCCAGCCTGGCACCCCACATAGCCCAGCTCCACCCCGACTCATGCGAGGGCCCCCAAACCACACAGAGGGCAGCGCCTCCCCAGGACACTGGGCTTTGCTGGGGGGATGCAGGGTCTCCCGGCTCCAGCCCTGCTCTGTCCCGGGCCGGCCTCCAGGGCCCACCCTGCTCATCTCTCCAAAGCCCTGAGCTTTCCCGGTGGCTCATGAGGTTAACGAGCTGGTTAACCCACGGGATGAGAATCATCCTCCCGTGTCTGCTGTGAAGCAGTGACCAGAACGATCGATCGTGTGATGAGGGCAGACACGTTCCAAGCACCAGCGCTGCCAGCTCCGGGAGTTGTGGGGATGAGTTAGGAACCCGAGAACCTTCCTGCTGGTCTCATGCATTTGGCAGTGTCTCACTGCATGCCGACGGCGTGCTGGGGGCAGGGGACAAGAGCCTGCACCAGTGCAGCCCCCTGGGTCACTGATGAGGATGGGGCACAGGCCAGACACAAAGAGAGGCCAAGAGAGACCAAGAAGGAGAGGCGAGACCCCGCCTGCCTCACCCAGCTTCCTGAGGGGCAGGCCACAGCCCCCAAGGCTCCCTCAGCCCACAGGACAGGGTTGCAGGGTGGAGGGCTTCCACCTGGGCCAGCGTCCTCCCTCTACCCCCAGTGGATCCACAGGACTCACCCCACAGGGGCTACGAGGTCCAGGCCCTGCCTTGTGACCAGACACCAGGAGGGAGGCTCCCTTTGAAGGGGAGTGAGGGGAGTCCTGGTAGCCTGGGGCCAGACGCAGTCCCCCTACCTCACCAGCCAGCCCAGGGCTCAGGACGGCAGGGCTGTGATCAGCCACCCAGCCAGGGCCAGCATCCAGCCTGCGCCTTCTGTGAGCTCCATGCCCCTGACCCAGGCTGGAAACCTGAGGCCACACTGACACCCCCCCACACCATCTGTCCTGTCCCCAGACCAGGCCCCTCCCAAGGTCCCTGCAAACCATGGCACCCCCCACGTGGGCTCAGCCTTGGACTTCACCTCCCAGGCGTGATGTGGGCCCCCCTGGAGCTACCTTGGATGAGCCTGCACCCTGGAGAGCCCCCACAGGACCCACCACAGCCCCAAGGGACCAGAGGAAAGGGGAGAGGGATATAGCCCTCAGGTCGTGCAAACAGCAGGCAGTTTGAGAAAGGGAATCGCCCAAAGGGGGCCGGAGAAGGGAGGGAGATGAGCCCCAACAAGGTGGTGGTCAGCTGGGCAGGGCTGGGCTGGGCAGCCCCTGGACAGTCCCTGCATCACGTGCCCACCTCAGACCGGCCTGGCCCCACAGGGGCTGGAGTTTGCACCCCTGCCCAGGCCTCTGGAAGCTGATAGGGTCTCTGCACAGGGCCGAGAGTGGCCCCAGCTGCATCCACGGGCAGGAGCCGATCAGGAGGGGCTGCAGTGGGCCTGGCAAGGCTGTAAGGGGCAGTAAGCGAGGCTGGCAGTGGTCCCCAGCGGCCAGGGTCCCCCGGCCGTGACTACCTAGGGCCTTTCACCCCAGCCAGCAGGCCGTGGTCAGTCGGATCTGAGGGGCGGCAACGTGGCACTGTACTTACACGTGGACTTCCCGTGGGTCTTCTCGCAGTTCGGGCAGTGGTAGATGTCGATGTCCGGGGCCTCCTCCTCTTCCACTCCCACACAGCTGCAACGGAGGAGACACAGACGTGACCGGCGTTCAACGATTCCGAAAGCACTTCCCCTGCAAAGCTCCTGCTCACCTCTCGGGAGGGGCCGGGGCAGTGTGTGTGCAGGTGGGTCACAGCGTGTGTGGGGACAGTGGCCCACGGGGACGGATGGGGGACGAGGAGGGAGGGAGGGGCAAGGAAGGCCTCGCCATGCATACAGGAGAGGTGGAGGGACCAGGCCATCTGGCAGGCCTGCCTCCATGAGAGCCGTCACTGCCCGGTCCCCACAGAGCCCAGGGAGGCTAAGGGGGTCTCGGACCCAGGCCACCCCCATCACTCAGGGCAGCTCTGAGCAAAGGGCAGGACCCCTCTGAATCCTCTGAGAACTGCTGCAAGACACTCTCCCCCAGGGGTGACACCACAGTGCTGGGACACTGGACACCAAAACAGTGAAGCTGAACCCCTACCTCACACCATACACAAAAATTACTGAAAATGGATTAACAACCTAAATATAAGAGTTAAAACTATAAAACTCTTAGAAGGAAATGGGTAAATCTCAAGACCTCAGATTTGGTCATGGATTCCTTGATATGACACCAAAAGCACAAGCAACAAAAGGAAAAATAAATTGTATGTCATCAAAATTAAAAAGTTTTGTGCATTAAAGGACACCATTGAGAAAGTGAAAAGACAACATAGAGAACAGAAGAAAATATTTGCAAATCATGTACCTGAGAAGGATCTAGCATCCAGAATACCTAAAGAACTTTACAACTCAATGACAAACAAATCAATTCAAAAAATGGGCAAAGGACTGGAATAGACATTTCTCCAAAGATGAGCTACCAATGGCCAACAAGCACATGAAAAGATGCTCAACATCCTTAGTCATCTGGATGCCAAAGAAATGCAAATTGAAACCATGAGATACCACCTCCCACCCACCAGGACAGCTATAATTTTTAAAAGATTGAAAAAACAACAACAGGAAAATAGCAAGTGCTGGCGAGGATGTGGAGAAATTAGAACCCTCTTCCATGGCTGGTGGGAAGGTAAAATGGTGCAGTTTCTATGGAAACAGTATGGCGCTTCCTCAAACAGATACACAGAATTACCACATGACCCAGCAATTCCACCCCGAGGTATTTACCCAAAAGAACGGAGAACAGCTCAAACAAATCCTTGTACACAATGTTCAGAGCAGCATTAGTCACAGCAAACAAAAGATGGAAGCAACCCAAATGTCCATCGACTGATCTAATGGATGAGCAAACTGTGGTGTACCCGCACAATGGAGGAGTGCTCAGCCTTAAAGGGGCATGGAGCACTGACACATGGATGAACCTCCAAAACCTACGCTGAGTGAGAGAAGCCAGACATAAAAGGCCAAATACAGCCATGTGTCGCTTAACTACGGGGATATGTTACAAGAAACGTGTCATCAGGTGATTTTGTCGTTGTGTGAACATCACAGAGTGTACTTACACAACCCCGCACACCGAGGCTGTGTGGCACTAATCTTATGGGAGCACCATGGTACACGCGGGCCACTGTTGACCGGAACATTGTTGTGCGGCACGTGACTGCCCTGTATGATTCCGCTTACATGAAATGCCCCCAACGGGTAATGCACAGACAGAAGACCCGTGGTGCCACACGTAGGGGAGAGCGGAAGGGGCAGGGACGGTTCAATAGGCACGGGGTCTCCTTTGGGATGAAATGTTTTGGAACTAGATAGAGGCGATGGTTGCACAACGCTGTGAATATGCTAAATGCCCCTGAAATGTTCACTTTAAAATGGTTAATTTCACGTTATGTGAATTTTATTTCAAAAAAAAGAAAAAGAACGACACTGACCCCATGAGGGTGACACCGTCCCGTCACCACAGTGAACCCCTCATCCTGGGGCTGGCTAAGCACTCGCTCTGCATGGGGCAGCACCGAGAGCCCTAAAGGGATGATTCTGCAATAAGCGGGATGGTTCCTACCAGCCCTGGGGCACAGTGAGGAAACCGAGGCACGAGACGTTTGAGATCCGCCTGGACCGAAGGGTCTCCTCGCTGTTCAGAGGGGCACTGGCCAAGGGTGAGCACCCGGCAGACGAGACTGAGTGCAGGCACCAAGGCTCCAGGGCCCAGGAACAGAGCCTGAGGCCCAGAAAGACCTTGGCAAATGTTTGTGAAAACATAAAGTTCACTCTTCATCTCAGAGCATAAACCGAAATAAAGTGCAGGCACCTAACGAATGCAATGTGAGAGACGCAGCTGTCACAGCTCTTGAGATGCAAAGTGACTTTCTGAACAAACAAACAAACAACTGGGAAGAAAACAGAACACTGATGGATGAAACATGCTCCAGACCATGAAAACAGACCCCACAGCGCCAGCCACAGAACCCATTCACGGGAACCGCGGCAAAGCGCCACCACGCCCCCCCCACGACTGCACCAACGGCTTGTCCCCAACAGATCGGGAGAGCCAGGAGGAACAGGGCACGGTGGGAGAAAGACCCCACCTTGCAGCACCCACACAAGGTGAGCTAAAATCACACATTTCCACCCGGCAAATTAACCAAAACCAGACACACTGACCTGGAAACGTGAGGACAGCAAACGCAGCCGATCACCGCCGGTCTGTCTCCAGGACCCCACTCCAGCCTCTCGAGCGCCCAGAGGGGGACCCAATGGCACATCTCCCAAACCGTCTCCCTCCTCCCACCCACCCACCAGCAGCCAGCTCCCTCCTGGTCCTTAACAAACTCACCGCACAGCTGGGGCCCTCCCTGGGGCTGGGCAGCAGAGGCCCCCCACCTACCCACCTACCCAGCCACAAGAAGTAGCTGGCTCACTCGATCCTTCCTCCTGGGCTGGCCCGCCGGCCTGACCCCTCTGCTCCTCCCTCCCTGTCCTCCTCCAAACAGAAAGGGCCTGGCACCTGGGCCTGCTCTGCGCCTGGGCCCTGGGGCAGTGGGCCTCAGTCTGCTCCTCCGTGGTGTGGGCTCATGACACCAGACACCGAGGAGCTCAGTGGTGGCAAAGCCGATCTGTCAATAACAGTCATGATGCAGTGGGGCCGAGGGCACTCATCCTGCCCGCGGGGGCTGACGTGGGAGGGAGCCTCCCGAAACACAGCCGTGTGCCAAGAGCTCTGACAAAGTTTTTATCCTTCGGGCCAGAAATTCCATGTCACAAACCTACTCTAGGATAAAAGATGGGAATGTACACAGGCCACGTGCCGGGGGGCATCGCACTGTCACTTAACACAGCAGAACAGGAGCAGCGACCGCTCCAGCCTAGAGGTCAGTACCAGGTCAGGCTGTGCTCACAGGGTGGAGGTTACGCAGCCACGAAAGCTCAGGGTGTGCACACTGTTGAGTTTAGACACTAGGATCTGCAGACGCTAAAACCGCAGCCCTGGCGCACAGCGACCCCAGCAGGGTACGTGCTGGTGCGGGGAAACGGCACGCTCGTTTCTCTGCATACTTCTCTGGACTTTCCGAAGTCACCGAAAGTGAGCGTCATGCCCTTAGTAAGTAACAGGCAGCAAGTCCTGCTCTATTTGGAAGGTCGGAATGGCCCCACGTGTCCCTTCCCAGGTCACCTCCTCCCGTCTTTCTCGGGTCCCAGCACCACGTAGAGAAGGCCTCCTGAGCCGTCCACCCTGCAGAGAGGTGGAGACACCCGTCTCAGGACAGCTGAGGGCCACTGGGTGTCCCCAAGGGAGCCTGTGGAGGGAGAGGCCAGGCTGGCAGGAGGGAACAGGGAGAGGCAGACTTTGGTATGGACCCTGGGCCAGCCAGGGAGACCCAGAAGGCTGGGGGTGGGGGTCGGGGGGAGGCTGAAGGGAGGGGAGGGGCATCAACGTCTCTGCCCACTGGCCACAGCGATACCACCCCCCCGCCCTCTCCGTCACAGTGACCTCATCCCGCTTCAAGCCAGCCCCTCTTCGGGGCCACACCACTCCCCCAATTCCTGCCCGTCGGTCTCCAGAGGGCGCTCAGAAACTGGTCACTGGCATACTTCCACATGGAGCAGCACGGGGACCACAACTCGGTCATCGCTCAGCTCGAAGACGGTCATCGGCCACGCGTCAAACTGAAGATGGTCCTGGAGACCCCAAGGGTGCCAGCAACAGCTCAATCACTGAGTGCCCAGCTGCTGGTCCAGGCACCGTGTGACCTTCTCCACACGGCAAGGCGGAAACCGCGGTGGGAGAGGGGAAGTGACTTCCCCAAGGCCACTCGGGAAGAGACCAGGCCAGACGAGCAGCCCTTCTTCAACACCGGCTCAGGCAGCGTGTCCCGTCCCACCTCGGACGCCCCGAGCAGCAGCTTTCCATCAGGTATTGCGGTTTCCACTTAAGAGCCTCAGGCACAGTGCACAAGGGGAAAACTGAGGCCCAGAGAGGCCTGCGCTTGCGGGGACCACATGGGAAAGGGGCGAGAGCGGGTGGGCGCGGCCAGTCTCTTTGCACCCCACACCTCACACGCCAGGCCCAGGAGCCTCCACACTCCTGGACGGCCAAGGGCCTGCGCACAGGAGGGGGCAGTGGAGTCCCTGCCACAGGAGGGGCAGACAAGGTGTAGAGCCAAGGGGTGGAGTGCAGAAAGGACCGGACCTCTGACATGGCCGGGCCCCCGGAGGACAAAGAGGAGCGGGAAAGGGAAACAAGGAAAGAGCTGGACCCAGCCCAGCATGAGAGTCTGGCCCACCCGGGGGCATGTGTGCCTGGGTGATGGGGCACCTGCCATGGTCCGGGACCAGCGGGTGACACTGCCCCACAGAGGAGGGGTCCCCATCCCTCCAGGAGGGTGGCCAGCCTGGGGACTCAGTGCAGGGGACCCCGAGGGTCACACAGACGGTGTGGCTTACACCTGGCCTCGTGGGGACCCGGTCACAGAGCAATGGTAGGGCTTCAGGGGCCCAGGTGTTGTCTGTCTGCTGAGCCCAAGATGCAGACTCACATGGTTACTGTCAGAAGCCACTAGGTTTTGGGGTGACTATGACAAAGCCATAGACAACCAAGACTATGGGGAGGGACAAGATGCTCAGAAGAGATGAAAACAGGCCCTGAAACGCAAAGGACAATTGTCCTCCCAGCCCATGCTGGTGGCACAGGTGAGCTCAAGAGGGGCTGTATGTACAATGCCCAGCACAGAGTCTGGCACAAGAGGGGACTGCAGGGACAGTTTACTGTTTGTCATAGCCATCATCATCATTACCATCATCATCGTCATCAGCATCATCACCATCATCATCACCATCACCATCATCAGCATCATTATCACTACCATCATCATCGTCACCATCATCACCATCATTATGACTACCAT